CGCGATTATGCGGTTAGCGGCTTCTCGTTCGGCGCATTTCCAATTAGCGAGAGGATTGAGCGAGAGGCGCGATGAGGTGAGGCGAGACGAGGCGCCGCGGGATCAATTTCGTTATGCAAGTCGCGGCGAGCGGAGTGCACGGGCGGATCGGTCCTCGACGCGAATTCTCAATCGGGAAAAACGAAGTACTATTCGTCGGAATTGAGTCGAGTGTTACATCTGGTCGAGATTATTTCCGTTATTCCGGCAAACGAGTCCCTCGGATCCCCGAGTCGATATTTACGTTCGATTATTCGGCCGGCACCTTCGCGAGGAGGGCACTCGACGATCCATCGTGGCGTTGTCGCGACGTCCGGCAGGAATCGCGTCGTAGCCGTTTTACGATCGCAACGAAAAGAAGACGGAAGACAGCCAAACGTCGGAAAACACGTAGTGCCGTGGAGAAGCGGGAGAGCGTCTTTCTGATCGGCAGTATAATCGAGCGTTGCGAAATTTTTGATCGAGATCTGGTCATCGGTTTACGCACAAACTTTTCACATCGCGCCCGAGAGCCGGCTTCTACAGTAACTCCTCTCTGTCCGCTCGCTTAACGGATCGTTGCATCTCCTCAAGTCGGAGCAGCTTCCGCCTTATTTAATTTAAACTTGTTTGTCCGACGCGCAAAAGTTCGCCGTCGGATAAACTGTCTCGAGCGTGCCGATGAGAACCACCATACTGCTCATACAATTATGAATATTAATTTTCCGTATCCACGGAAAAGGCGTCCGACGGAATTTCGAAATTTCCTCAATCACGAAGAACGTGAGTAGGAGCACAAGATGAGACAGTCAAATGGATTACTTCGGCAATTATTAGTAATCCTCGTGCAGAGTTGGCCCCATCCCTTTCCCCCGTCCACCATGTGAAAAACGAATAGCTCGAAATTAGAAGCTTTTTATGAGCTTTCGATCCCCTAACATTTTTTAGCTCGTTTCCTTGAGCAGGAATTTTGATTTCTATGTACGAGAAAGGACTGAGTGAACATTTATTCAGCTCTCTAATCTCTTAAAATTACAGAGATATATTAGTACAAGTTTGCAAAAATTTAGATATTGTAGATAAATTCATTCAATGAGAAAAAAGATAAATCATACATTAATGGAAGTGAGTTTGTCAGTAAATATGTTATGATAAAGGAAATATATCTAAAAGTTCGACGAACCTCTTTGCGAGCTGCTAATAGAAATTATTACGTCACAAGTTACTTATTCGCAGTACTTATTACGTCACGACGAGAGAGCGTGATCCTATAAAGTTATAAACGCCTCCATTAAATATTGATGCACGCAAAACTAATTCGCTGGAAAAGTGAGACAAAATCTTATTAATAATTAAGCCCCGGTTTAAACTTCGGAGCAGAAAATATCGTTTTTAAATTAATACGGAGACGAATGATTTCTGGGATAGGCACATACGTACACACACATGGTGCACGAAAGATTATATTCCGAAATTATTTTTACATATACACGCGCCCGATGAGCAATGAATAATTCGATCAGCTTTGCGGTTTTTAAATTTTCGGACGCGAGTGCGATATCACACGTGAATAACCGCGATCCGTTTGTATCTCGTTCATTTTCGATTGTCAGATCCGGCAGGAATTATTTCACGCCGACCAATTAAAACAGTGCCAGCTGTCCTTTGACGGACCGTCGATGGTCAATTAGTCGATGAGAAAATTGAAAGATTTTTCATTTCGTGCGTCTCCCGAATTTTTGTTTTCATTTTGTCCTTTTTTGTTTTTGTTTTTTTAATTTGTTTTCACGAAACGCAGTATCGCCCTCAGCCCGACGAAATCTGATAAACCAGAAATACGCTATCTCTCGCACGTTCGTTGCATCGTCGAACGACGACGTAACATTCAAACTGTATTTTTTCCATAACTGTGTCGCACCGTACCGATTCTTCCCACAACCTGTTAATCTTTGATATCAACAAATTCCTCAGCAATACTCGTTATTGAAAAGAGGAGGAGAGAGTCTGAATCAAAATTTTAACCCTACTTTCGATCCTGAACTTCCCAATATATAAAGTTATTCACAGAGAAGTAAATTTTATTTCACATGAAATTAACTTTAGTACATCCCACAGAAAAATTTTCAAGTATTTTTTCTCAGTGTAGAGTCAAAAAAGGTTGATGAATGTTTCGGACCATCGAAGTATACATAAGGTGGAATATTGAGGTCGAAACCAAATTTCGACTCGGCGGAAATAGAATGAAAGATTAGATGTGTTAACGTAAAAAACTGTTTGTTAGTCACTGTGATATATTTAAATGTGTTGAATATCAGGAGACAGGTTTTTTTCACCGGAAGGAGATGGTAGAGGAGACGCTTCAATTTCTTGAAGTTCTGTAAGGATGATGTAGATGACTGGAACGTTGTCTCAAATTATAGTCTCCAGAAGGATGTTGACGATGATCATTACAAGAAACAAATGTGATGAACTTGGGAAAAACACAAGGAGTTAAGATTCTTGAGATTATCAGGAACTAATATTCTGAAAAAGAAATATTTTAAGTCGAATGCTTCCGAAGAGGAAGCCAATTGTTGGTTTCTCCTTCTCTTCGTAGGGCTTCGTTGTATTAGATATTCTCTCCGCAGAGAATGTTTATTAATTTCGACTCTCCCCACAGAGAGTATTCCATCTCAGTCTCTCCCCACAGTGAGACTTCCAGACTTTCATCTCTCACCACAGAGAGAAACGATAATTAATTTCGTTTAATTTAATTTCTTACCGATCAAATAAATTCTCTTCAAGCGACTAACTTCTTTCTAGCTTGAAAAGAAACTGCAAGCGTTGCTAAGGAAAACTCGCTTGTTGAACAAGAGACATAGACTTGTTCCGAAACACAAAATGTAAACGAACATATGAGTTTCGCGATTCTCACCTCTGTATCTGCTCTGTAGTTTGCCCGAAGTTATTTAAAATAATATTTTCCCATTTACTTTTTAATTCTTGCAACAAGAACAATGAAGCGCGCGTCGTCATGCGCCCCGGCGAATTAAAATACGGGGTCCTTAAACGAAAAGGAGTGTAATTGATCCACTCGTCAGCCTACTATATTCGAGTAGATAACACCGATAATATCCCTGGCACGCACAAAGCCCGAATGCGCTTTGTGTCACGCGATAGCGGCGTACGCGTGAAAGCATAAAGCTTAATAGTAATTCAGCTGTGTTCAAACGAAAGCCATTTGTTATGCCGGCGAGCGGCTCTCGCGTGTATAATTATGGCGCGTGTTACAGTGTCGCGAGCAGGTGGGCGTCCGACGAACTTTTCATTACAACTTCTTCCCTCCCTCCTTTCACCCTCTGTCCGGCAACAACACGTGTCGAAATAATAATCGCCTTCGAGTCACCGACTTCGGACCGAAGGAAATAGTTCGGGGTCGCAATTTTCCCCGGACCTGCCCGCCGTTGTTTCCGGCAGCGGGGCTTGCAGCGGCCACGTCTGGCGACGAAGTGCAAGAGAAGGGGGGAAAGGGAGAGGGGACAACGCGGGATATTTCCTTTCTATCTCTGTTTTTCACGAAGATTGATCGAACGCTGCTGCGGCCGCGGCATGTTACTCACGCGCGATTCGTCGCGTTTCGGAGCGATTCCGGAAGTGGCGTTATTAATGACATCGCGGGGTTGATTGCTTTTCGGCGCGAGGGTACGAGAAGCTTCACCCCGCCCCTCTCGTCGGATCTCCTCTCCCTCCCCTGTAATCGGTGAAAAATGTTTCAATTTCGTCTCGTCGAGAGTCCGCTTCCATTTTCGGCCGAGCCGGAAAAAAGGGGGAGAGAGAGAGAGAGAGAGAGAGAGAGAGAGAGAGAGAGAGAGAGAGAGGAAGAGAGAGGGAGAGGGTGAGTTTTCAGCCAGACAAATCGGATCTCGCGTCGGTTAAATATTCGCTCTATCCTCTTCGCGGGGAGAAAATATTGATATCGATACGCACAGGATATGCAGCAGACAGAGATAGAGATAGAGAGAGAAAGAGATAGAGGGAGGGAAAAAGGATGCAGGGTGGAGTGGGACGGGACAGGGAATCGGCCGAAAGTATCGCGCCCCGCCGAAATTGACGGGCTTTTGCATATTCATAACGCAGAGGGTACCTTGTTCCGCGGTTATTCACGAAATTTGAGACATTCCCGGGGAAAATGTTCGGAATTTTTTCGTACTTGCGTAATAGCCGAACGAGCGAACGAACGAACGAGCGAGCGACTGGACGAGTGATTCCCAGTCGTTATTTTACGGACGAATCGAGAGTCTCTGACGCACGAAAACCACGACGCGCGATTCACCCTTTTTTTTATATTGGCGTGAATTGCGTACGAACATGTTGCCTCGATATCCTAGACGGAAATTCGGCGAGTCTCCACGAGCGCGATTATCCGCGAGAGACTTTATATAATGCATGAATTACGGTCCCAGGTATATCGTGTCTGTGTCAATTTGTTGCAATTTTCTTCCTACACAAACTTTACGCATCGAGAAAATTTTATCGAGAGATACGTCTTTCTCTTATCGACATCGCGTCATCGATTCATTCACGAACGAAATGCCAATAGCGACATAACACAGGTGATAGCGAAATGTGACCGTGACGCGGAAAGGTGACGTTAATAAGTGCATCCACTGAATGCTCAGTAAGCTCTTGCATCTGATTGATGTATATTTTAGACCTAAAGAATCTAGGAATATGCCACCTCTCTGAGTCAACGAAACGTTATCACTTGTGTGTTATGTCACTACTTGCATTTCGCTTGTTTTTCCACAAAAAAAAGAGAAACGAATGCGCCCTTATTATGCTCGCGTTTTCCCGCAAATAAGGAAGCGCCGACGTTTTGATAATTAGGATCGCCTTCCGGACGGAGAAAAAAAGGGACGAAAAAATTATTACTTTCGCGAAGTAGGTCGGTGCGACGCGCAGCGCCGCTCGCAATTAGCGTTAATTGGAATGAGTGTACTCACTGTTAAGCTCTATGATGACAGAAGTGCTAGGTGGCAGCGCTAATTGAGTGTTATTCGCTCGGCAGGACAGCTTGGCGTGATGGTGCCTTCTCGTGAGTGCCTTCACAGTCACGTTACTGATGGTTACGACGTTGGTCTCGCCGTCCGATCCTTGAGTCTCTCGAATCTCCGTAGATGCGTGAATATTCTGCGACTCGAGATACCACGAGACTTGCGGTCGAGGTTTGCCTGCGCGAACGAAAGAGGAGCAATTAGAAAAGCAAAAAAAAAGGGGAATAAAAAATAGAACAAAGTCAGATGCGCGCCGAGCTAAATTCGCTTTGCTCGTCGAGCATCTCGCGAATATTGTCGAGTCAAACGACGTACATTTTACGCGCTGGTATAGCGAACAGGGCAAGGTTTCTCAACTTTGTGAAGTTTCATAAAGAATTTTTGAATGGCATCAATATCTCGTCATGCGCGGAAATTTAATAGATGACATCGAGTTTCGTTGTAGTCGAGAGAAAAGATTTTCTGTCACAACTGAAAACTTCGTTCTAACTGAAATTAACAGATCTATTTCATAAATTTATATCATGAAATCATTGGTGGTGAAATGTGCTCTTAAAAAGTTTGCTATTTTTCCGGCAAGATTTCTGTTTTCTGGAAAAATAGATCTAATTAGCAATCTGTTCCCGTATTACCAGAAACATGATAAGATTGAAAAGAATTTATATAAAAAAAGAAACATTCTCTCCGTGTGTGAGTAAGTTGTCAATTGTTTTGTAATTGTAGACGCAATTCCTTTGCGAGATGCAAGCAAATTTGCTTAGTCATAACATCAAATTTCGATTCGTGAATTATAGATTCGTCAAATCAACCAATCCATCTTTTTCACATAAATCTTGTGAGTTTCGACAGAAAATGTATTTCATTCAGGCAGTGAAAAATCGCCGAAAGTCCGGTATGTATCCGTCGGACAGTTCATTACCACTTTCTAAAGTTCACGGAAAGGCTGAGGAGTCGTGAATCCAACGGGACAGAAGCTTCCGGGACTTGCGGGAGTCCTTTGTTCGTCCCGCTACCGCTATGACGATATCAGCCCGATATCGGGCCTGAAAAAGATCCGGAAGCCGTGGGGCATATCGGTGCCGGCAGGCCGACGCCTGTCGTTCCTCCCCTGCCAATGAGCCGGTAGACAGCGAGGGTAATTTGAACGGCGCGTTCCAAGGGTCGGGGGTCGGTGGATGTCGCCGTCAATCACGACGGACGGCAGGCCTCGGTCGAAACAATGGCCGTGTACGCACGCGAATGAGTATTCTCGAATTCGTGTTTCTCGTTTCCCGCGCTACCTGTGGCTCGCGCTCTCTCCCACGCCACCGCTAATTATAACGAAAGCGAGCCCGATGGCGAGATTTTGCCATTACTGAAGGCGACGCGCTGCTGGCCGCGCGCTTTCACGGACGCGTCGAAGGCGTCTCACATAGCACGTCGATGATCGCGGCGGGTGCGATAATTCACTTAATCAATTAGGAAGGTACAGTCGCCGCGTCCGGAAACGTAAGGAAGCCGGCGAGCCATTGGACGGGACACGGTACATAGTGTAGTCTGTCGTGGGACAGACAGTAATTGCGAATGGTAATTGTAAACCGGAAGGGACAATAAACCAGCTGCGACAATGAAGGGGAGGCGCCCCGGGCTCCGATTACATATCCGGAATTACTTTAAGACAACATTCCCCGTTAACTCGAGATAGTTTCGCACCTCTCTCTCTCTCTCTCTCTCTCTCTCTCTCTCTCTCTCTTTCTCTGTCTCTCCCTTTCTATAGTGTACACGCTAATGTGGAAGTCATAATTGGAGATGCTTGTCTCTTCTAACTGTTTGCGAGTGAGTTTCACTCGTTTCCTGAAGCACCGAAACTTCCGGTTCTCTCGGATAAACCCGATAATATTCTCTTCTAGTATTGGTGCCGCATAATGTCAGTGTAGCGTAAAACTTCAGTGAAACGTTTGTTCGTTAAATTTGACCGAGCCGACACACGCACGTATGAATTACGCGCGAAATTCCCGAGACATCTCATAGCGAACGCTATGCCAAACTGGTTACGCCGTCAAGCGCCGTGCTCGATATTAACCGATCCGTGTTGTCTAATCAACAGTTATTCCAGATGAAGCGTCTGCCTATCCAGTTCGTAGACAGCTGTCTGTTGAAGCTGTCTACATAGATATCTATCTAATCGAACCAGTCTCTATATCGCGCATATATCTTGGCAGAAGCCACGATCGTTGACACTGATAGTTAGCTAGAACGGTAGTAATTAGAAGCGGCTATTTGCTCGCTCGGAGATCTACATTAATAATCCGAAGCCAATGCCATTTGCATAGGTAGTTCTTGGGAGTATAGCATATTGGGCTCTCCACTCGTGTTACGCATCTGATCAAAGCGTCTGACCTGGTCGATCTTGCTCGCCTCGCATCTCTCCTCGAGAGAAGAACATCCCAGACGTTCCTCTAATCATACCTTGGACACCGCCGTCTGACATCCGTCGTATGTAATCAGGAAGAAGCCGATGGGGATGAGGGAAAAGTTGCAGCATGTTTCGTCATATTAGTCATTACAGCTTCTCCTTATCCCTCTCACTCCTCTTTGGCTACCACTCGCTTATTTCCTATCACATATGGCGAAGTCAACTAAAAATCGGTGTTCAAATCCCGATTGGAGGAACTTTGGGACACTTTGATCAGGGATTCCTCTTTTGACTGCGAATTATTCCGCAATGCGTCGAAGTGGCGCGGATTCGCGCGTTTCGCGAGACGAACCGATATCTGTCCGGATGTTACACTATAAATTAACTTATCAAACGCGGGCTCTCTCTCTCTCTCCCTCTCTCTCTCTCTCTCTCTCTCTCTCTCTCTCTCTCTCTCTCTGCCTCTTTTCGTGAGTGAGTGCAATGCGATAGAACGGAAAGAAACAAAGAGGTAATCCTGTGTACGCGTTATGACGCGATATGCGTATTGTCTACAATCGCGTTAATTTCTCGGATACAATGCACAGAAATCGCATTAATTTCCCCAAGTACATGCTCATTAAACAATAACCAGGAAATGAACAGGCTTCCTGCCGCGAAATCGAAGCCAACCCATGTGCGTGCAGGAAATGCGTCTGTTGCGTGCTGGATGACCCGAGGAGAGTTCCTAATTAATACGCGATATCGCTCCAAACGGTACGCTGCGTATGTTGGGATTGACGCAAAGCGACCAACGCAAAGCGACCGACGCAAAGTGACCGACGAACGGTAACATAAACTCGTAATTGATCATTCGACTGAGAGGCTTTTCTTCCCCTTCGTATTACACCTACGCGATTTACCGTTCTAATGGCAGAGAGAATCGTTTCTCTCGTAAGCAGAATAAGTAATAATAATATAAATAATTATCATAAAAGCTTTGAAAGACGATCAAGAGTGGACGACAAAGAAAAGTTTGCAAGAGCCGAGAGCTGAAAAGTACTGAGCAAAATTTGTAAGAAAGATGCAATTTCTTTGCTGGGTTCTAACGAAATATAATTTAAAACATGCAATGTATTAATGCAAAATATGTTTAAGAAATTCTGTTTAAAGAATGTATATAATGAAATTTATGTGGAATTTCAAACATACAAAACATACTTTGCATATTTTATGTGTTATATTAAGCTACAGTACATAGAAGAAATTACATCTTTTTTACAATTTAGAAGAAATTACATCTTTTTTACAATTTTTGCAAACTAATTTCCAGCTTACACACACACACAGGCTTCTCTTATGATAATAACAACGACGATAATGAGGACAACGTCGCAAGCGCTTGCTTCAGCGTTCTTCCAGTCGCCGGCTGCGAGGATTTCGCGTCGCTGCGAGAGACATGCCATTGTCGTCCGAAAAAAGGAGCAGGGTGCAATAATAAGCATTCGTTAAGTTCTATACCATAATTAATTCCACCATCGAGACCGCCGTTTCTATTGTTCCCCTCGGGATAATTCTCTGCTGTCCCGCGGGATACAAATATATCCCGCCAGTAGTATCTCGCTGGGCTTTCGCCCGGCCGTTTCCTCGCGTTTCCCAGCGACCGCGCTTTAGAGCGCGGCTCATAGCCGTAATACACGAAACACTGTGCATACACAGTGTAGCCGTAAATTCTTTTCCGAAGGGAGATATCGAAACGCCGATAGTTTCGTGAATTACGAGCGATCGAAAGTCGAGCTACTCGCGAATTAAATTCCGAATCTTCGCGTTTGGTTTCTTCGCTACCCTCATTCATTCGTTCGACCTCGCGAGCGAGCGAGCGAGCGAGAGATTTTTATCGCACGAGAGCGGAATTTCAATTCGAAGTCCGTAGCGTGAGCTGCGAGCACATGCGGATTTAAGACGCCATCCGGTATATCCGACTGGCTTCGGCTCGTATTTGTGCGTAGCGAATAATAAAGCAGCGAGGAGGGTTATTACGGTCGTTATGACTTTTGCGTGGTGGAACGCGCGGTCCCCAGAAAGTCCTCGTATTAAAAGTCGCCGCTAACTAAAGTCATTACCGTGTCGTTGCTTGTCGCGTATTTTCATAACGTTACGGTTACGGTCTTTTAAACGCCGTTACCGTGTGTAAACGCGCTAGAAATCGTCGTCGTCGTCATTGTTGCCGTCGCCGTTCGCTCGTTAAGAAGGGTGAAGCAACGAAACAGCGAATTACTCGCGAGCATAATGGATACTTGGATGCGCTACGAGTGTTTGTTTCATCTTCATTCTTTTACGTTCAGCATCGACGACATTTTCGCCAAACACATTCACGTGGAATCGCATTGCGTGCGGTACGCAATGTAAAGTCGAGAGAATAGCAAGCGGCGCAATCGTACAAAGTTGTAAATTGTTGCGCGAAACCACGTTAGCGCCAGTTGTTTCACGGTGAAGAGCACTAGACACGGAGTCGATAAGCAAATAATCCTATAATAGACTATCAATTCGATAACGCGATAGTTGAGCGAAATTTTCGTTTTTTATCCAGTCTTTTTTTTATGTTTTCACCGATACCGGAGCACGCCACGTACGCGTCACACTGTGGGCATAAATTGAGCATTAAAGTCGATAACCGCAAAGTATCATAAACGTCACGCGTCATCCAAAGCCTCGGTGACCCAAAGCCTCACTCTGTACAAAATGCGATCAACACCCGAGCTTGCTGAGCTTTTTAAGAACGTTCACCCAAAAAAATTCCCTT